ATGCATGTGAAAATTGGATACCAAAAAAGGAAGAGAGAAGAAAAATTAATGCACTTGAACAATATTCTTTTCCAAACCACAGAACAAACCAATCATCTTCAAAGAAATACAATTGGAATGCTCCTTAGAAGTGAGTATGGAAAGACTTCAGTTTGCTTACTATGGGCCTGTCTTCAGGACAGACCAATCCTTAGAAAAAGACAATGCTGGTAAAGTGGAGGGTCAATGAAGATGAGGAAAATCTCCAGTGACATTGATTGACAAAATAGCCACCAAAATGGATTATACTGGCAATCATGTAAATGGCATAGGACTAGCAATGTTTTGTTTTCTTATACATAAGGTCACTATGAATAGGATATAACATGATGGCAAATAAGAACAAAACTATTAAAAACTACAATGGAGGAAAAAAATGGAGAGAAAAAATTTTAATAAAAAAAGAAAAAGAAAGGTAGTATAAGGATTTGTATATATAAGTGGGGCCATAACACTGACAAAAATCACAATGAATTTCTATGTATCATCTAGTTATGAGGAAAAAAATAAATAAATAAATAACCATCTGAGTACATTCTCCCCCCTGCTATAAGAAACCTGGAAATGCATCTCTCTTCCCAGGCATTTACCCTGCTGGCATTTACACAAGGGTGATTGATACATTTAAGATGACAATTTATTTTTAATATTTGAGAAAATGTTTACCTTCCTTTTGGATAAACATTCAGTATTTTTAAAATGACATTTTTCAAACCATCAATGAAAATTGTTGTAGCTGTCAAGTTGGTTCTGACTCATAGTGACCCTATGTACAAAAAAACAAAACACTGTCCAGTCCTGTGCCATCCGCACAATCACTGCTATGCTTCATCCTGTTGTTGCAGCCATTCTGTCAATCCATCACATTCAGGATCTTACTCTTTCTTGCTGGCCCTCTGCTTTACTAAGCATGATGTCCTTCTCCAGGGACTGGTCCCTCCTGATAACATGCATGGAGTAAGTGAGATGAAGTATTGCTATCATCATTTTTAAGGAACATTCTGGCTGTCCTTCTTCCAAGACAGACTTGTTTATTCTTCTGGCAGTCCATGGTATATTCAATATTCTTTGCCAACAGCATAATTAAAAGACGTCAATTTTTCTTTGGTGTTTCTTAATCATTGTTCAGCTTTCACATGCACATGAAGCAAGCGAAAATACTGTGGCTTGGATCAAGCACACTTCAGTCCTCAAAGTGACATCTTTGCTTTTTAACACTTTAAGGAAGCCTTTTGCTGATTTGATTGCTGCTTACATGGGTGTTTACTGTGGATCCAAGTAAATTGAAATCCTTGACCACTTCAGTCTTTTCTCCATTCACCATGATGTTGCTTATTGGTCCAGTTGTGAGAATTTTTGTTTCCTTTAGGTAGAGGTGTAACCCAATTGAAGGGTGTAGTCTTTGATCTTCATCAGTAAGTGCTTCAAGTCTTCTTCACTTTCAGCAAACAAGATTTATTATTTCCATATGGTAGGTTGTTAATGAGTCTTTCTCCAATCCTGTTGCTGCTTTCTTCTTCACATGGTCTAACTTCTCAGATTATTTACTCATGATACAGAGTGAATAAATATGGTGAAAGGATACAACTCTAATGCAGATCCTTCCCTATTTTAAATCCTGTACCATCCCCTGTTCTGTTCAATTGACTACCTCTTGGTCTATGTACAGGTTCCTCATGAGCACAATTAAGTGTTCTGGAATTCTTATTCTTCTTACTGTTATCCATAATTTATTATGATCTACACAATTAAATGCTTTTATATAGTTACTAAAACACGAGTAAACACTTTTCTGGTATACTCTGCTTTAAGCCAACACCTTTGAAATCAGCAATGATATCCCTGGTTTCATATACTCTTCTGAATGCAGCTTGAATGTCTAGCAGTTCCCTGCTGGTGTACTGCTGCAATCATTTTTGAATTATCCTCAACAAAACTTTAGTTGTGTGTGATACAATGATATTGTTTGATTATTTCTGCATTATGTTGGATCAGTTTTCTTTGGTATGGGCATGGATATGAATCTCTTCCAGTTGATTGTCCAGATAGCTGTTTTCCAAATGTCTTGGTATAGATCAATAAATCTTTTAGTGCTATATTCATTTGTTAAAACATCTCAATGAGTATTCTGTCAATTCTTGAAGCCTTGTTTGTTGCCCATGCTTCCTGTGCAGCTTGGACTTCTTTCTTTAGTACCATCGCTTCTTGACCATATGCTGCCTCCTGAAATAGTTGAACATCAACCAATTCTTTTTGGTACAGTGACTTTGTGTTTTCCTTCCCTCTTCTTTTGATGCTTCCTGCATCATTCAATATTTTGCCAATGTTGTTGTTGTTAAGTGCCGTTGAGTCGGACCTGACTCATAATAGCGACTTCTCCTTGGGTTTCCAAAACAGTATCACTATGGAAGTACATTGCCCCATCTTCCTCTCAGGAGTGGCTGGAGGGTTTGAACCACCATCCTTCCGGTTAGCAGTCAAGTGCCATAGGCACTACCCTAGCAGAGCTCCATTAGAATCCTTCAATTCTGCAACTCAGGGCTTGGCTTTTTCTTCAGCTAGAGAAATGCCAAGTGTGTTCTTCCCTTTTGGTTTTCTGACACCAGTCTACACATTTCATTATAATACTTTACTTTGTTTGCTCTAACTGCCCTTTGAAATTTTATGTCAAGCTCTTTTATTTAATCATTTCTTCCATTCACTTTAGCTACTCTATGTTCAAGAGCATGTTTCAGAGTCTCTTCTAACATCCATTTTGATCTTTTCTTTCTGTCTGTCTTTTTAATGACCTTTTGCTTTTTTCATGTATGATGTCCTTGATGTCATCCCATGACTCAGTTGGTTTTCAGTCATTAATGTTTGATGCATCAAATCTATTCATTCTTGAGATTGTCTCTAAATTCAGGTGGTATATACTCAAGGTTGTATTTTGTCTCATGTGGAATGTTTTAAGGAGCTCCAGTGGCACTGTGGTTAAAGCATTGGGCTGTTAACCAAAAAGATAATGGTTTCAATCCACCAGATGCTCCTCTGAAGAAAGATGAGACAACCTACTTTTGTAAAGATTTACAGCCTTAGAAACCCTATGGGAGTTGCTAGGATTTGGAATCAACTCGATGACAGTGGGTTTTGGGAACTTGTTTTAATTTTATTTGGTTTCAATTTAATTTGCATATGAGCAATTATGATCATGTGCAATGAAAATTAAGAAAGAAAAATTAACATATCTCCACAGTCTAAAGAAACTGAGGATTACAGAATTATCCTCAGTGAATCTAGTCTTTCGTAAATGTTTGGAGTGAAAAGAGATGTCAGATTTTGGCCATTGCTGATAATAAATTTTTGTTGAAAATCTCTGATCAAAACATTTTTGTAAATTTAGTATTAAAAACTATTGATTTTCCCTGCTCAAATATCAGATTGACATGAGTAAGAAAAATCTAGGATTCATAGTTTATTAGCATATAATCTTTTCCATATTCCATAGCTATAGTGAATTTTTGAGATAGATAGTTCCAAACAGCTTTGGCAGGTAATTGTTATGTTGTCTTTGAAAATTTATCTCTTAACTATATTATTAATTACTTGCTTGACAATTTCTTCAAATTAGTCAGGTTATATTATTGCTTCATTTAAATTGTTCTTGCTGTCTTCGTCTCACTTTGGATGTTAATATAATCAGGTAAACCTGAACCATGACCTGCAAGAAACTCCTCATTTCAACTTAAAAAACAAGAAATAAAAGCAGTGGAGAGAGATACAACTGTGTATTTTTCTGTACAATTACACATAATCTCTTTTTAATATGAAATTGTTGTTTTAGCTTTTGTCTACTTGATTCCTATTCATGGCCGGCCCATATGAGAAGGGAAGTATAAATGTATTCATGGTTTTAGAATTTTCAGGTAACAGTGTGGTGTCTTGAAATGTTAAATATATTAAATGTACTATAGTTAATCTTGCTCTGTATAAAGAAAATAATTGACTGAGTGGTCTCTAGTGTCCATTTCAAATTTATCAGCCAACAATCAATTTGATATTGTGCCCTATTTGAGCCATCAGGCATTCTCAGTGTATTTGCAGCATGAATACCATTCTTGTATCTAACTTTACTTTATCTTCCTGAGCCCCTGATTACACCATGATGGAAAATTATTAGCAAATTATTAAAAATTTCATTATCTGTATATGATATCAGGACCTCTGGTGGTATAGTGCCTAAGGCATTTGACTGCTAACCAGAAGGCTGGTGGTTCAAACCCACCAGCCACTCCTTGGAAGGAAGACTGGGCTATCTACTTCTGTAGAGATACCGCCTCAGAAACCCAAAGAGGGGTCTCTATGAGTCAGATCGACTCAGTGGCAGTGTTTTTTTTTTTTTTTTTTTTTGTATATAATATGTATATTTCAATAATTTGAAGATGGCCCTTACCTTATCTGACTGGTGAATGAAAATATAAAATCTATTCTCATCCAAAGTAAAATGTAAGGGTTTTCCATTTGGCATAATCAGGTTATTTTCATGTTAAAATCTAAGCTCCCCTGAAGCCAGATAGTGTTTATTGACACGTTGGTTGTCCTCCTGTAGCAGACCTTAGTAAGTTTAGGTCTCTTTTGGGAGCTGTTTGGGCATCTTATTATGTGCAAGCTATGTTTGTGGAGAAGAACTTTTTGCCTTTCACAAGTAGAGAACCTTTTCTTTCCTATGGTTAGAAGATGTACACTAACCTTAAAGTATGCATTTCCTTTTCCCTACCTTTTGCTTTGGTCTTCCTGGATAGTCCCAAAAGAAAAGGTAGTGAATGTCTATACAGTGGGCCCCATTGTGAATATTTCATGTAAACCAAGAGCTTAAGGAGAAGTTTATAAGGATTGGTGTTTTATCATCTGATTTACTTGGTTAAGCAGAGCTTCTGAGAGAAAAATGAATGGCAAACTTTCCATTTGATGTCTCTTTCCAGAAGGATGTGTTGCAGTCGGATCTCATTGTCTGCTCAGTGGTTGCTGTCCTGTCATTTGCAGTCAGTGCCAGCACTGTATTCCTCTCCTTACGTGTAGGTATCCATTCAACTTTATACTCTTCCCATGTCCCTGTTCTCTTTAATAACAGAGCTGATTGTGGAACTAGAAGATATTGACAAGGAGAGTTGAGCCAGACAAAATGCCAGTTGAAAGACTTAAAGAATATATTCTTGTGTTGGTAAAAGAGTTAAGTTCAAGATGTGATTTAGTCTGAAATACGGAATTGGTTCAAATATTTTACCTTTAATCTTTTCTCCAAATGAGAAGTTGTTTTGTTTGTAAAAAGCAGTGCCATATCTTTTTAGAGTCTACATGATGACAGTTAATAGCAGTGAAATGGGTTAAAGGTGTAGTACCATAAGTTAAAGGGAGAGGAATGGCCTCTCAGGGATTTACCATATCGGGAGTGTGACAGGCCACAGAGCCAAAAGAATTACTGGGACACAATTTTCAGTTACAAAAGTGGAGAGCTCCAGAAGGGATTTCTGGCTTACAGTACTTACAGACAGTTGCTATTGCTACAAAACAAAACAAAACAAAAAACACATTTATGAACTCCTCTTTCAATGAGGAAAGGTGGTTTTGCTAAATTTCTTATGTCTACATCTTCTTATAAGAAAATAAACAAAAACACTCGCCAATGGGCAGACTTCCTCTTGGCATTTGCAGTCCACAGGCCAGCTCTCCACCACCATCTAGTGGGTCTCAACATACAAATCAGGTGCCCCTAAACCAAGAAAACCAAACTCACTGCCCTGGAGTCAGTTCTGACTCATAGTGACCCCTCCTTGGGTTTCTGAGGCAATATCTCTATGGAAGTAGATTGTCCAGTCTTCCTTCCAAGGAGTGGCTGGTGGGTTTGAACCACCAGTCTTCTGGTTGGCAGTCAAATGCCTTAGGCACTATGCCACCAGAACCTCTAGATGGAAGATATAACCAGAGACTGGAAATAACTTAACTTGGCCATTTGCTCTTTAAGAGGAAAAAGGGCCAGAGCAGCAGCATCATGTATTATCATGGACATCCCTTGACCTCTCTCTCTAAATGAAATAAGAAGACTTTGCCTTGTTTCCTCACAGCCATTTCTCAGCATTGTGCTGTTTGCTGTGGCTGGCACCGTGGGGTTCCTAGCTCATTACATGCTCCCTCAACTCCGCAAGCACCACCCTTGGATGTGGATTTCACACCCCATTCTTAAAAACAGAGAGTATCAGCAACGGGAAGTGAAAGGTTAGTAATGTATCCTCCATAATTACAATAATTAAAAAAAAATTTTAGTGGTAAGTGTACTTTAAAATGAAGACTAACTACTTTGAAGTATATAATGTTATTGCAAACTGAAACAAGAAAGTTGAAGTGGAGTGAATTAGAAGTATGCTTGATACAAATATTAGATGGTTATTAGAATGCAAGAAAAATTTAATTTATACCATTCAAACTTGAAGATTATGCTATTCCAACTTAAGTTAACTGGGGACCAAGAAGAACATCACTTGGTTGTCCTCCCATCCTCCACAGCATGGTGGCAGAATACCAGAGAGGGCCTGTTAACTTTTAGAACCCTTGAGCTCTTAACTTTTCTTTAACTTGCTTTGTTAACTTGAGGAGTAGATAGGCTGTCTCTGGCCGTGATCATAGACTAGCCTGATAATAATGACAATTGCAGAAGTCCTGTGTGAGAGGTCTATCAGGAATTTCCCTGCTATGTCTGTCCTTTCTCTGTGGCTCCATGTTCTGTGACAGACTAGATGGGAGAAGTTTGATATTATCTCATCAAGAGATACATCAAAATTATGGGTCACAGTTTATCACTAAACTGACTAGTGCTGCAAATTTTGCATGCGACTGTTCCACCCCTGGTAGCTTCTCAGTTGTTTAAATGAGTTATCTAGTTGTTCCCATGTTATAAGCACAGGGCTATAGGAGGGCAGCCAAGATTTTCTCGGGAAACCACTGGACTCAGCCAGCTTTGTTATCAGTGAGTTCTGTAGATTAGGGTGAGGAAATGGAAAGGGGGGAGACTTTAAAAAGAAGAAGCAGAAGAGCTTGTGAAGATACTGCCAAGATAGAGACCATTTCTTCAAGAAACATCTCTAGGTAAGTAAAAGAAGATGCCTTCATTAGAAACAGCCAGAATAAAGTGTGCCAAAGTGAGAAGACTGTGGATTGCTTAGTGGTGAAATAGCAGATGGGAAACCTGATGGCAATGTTTATTGTTGCTGTTGACCTTGACCCATGTGTGTCAGAGTAGACCTGTGTTCAGAGTTTTCTTTGGCTGATTTTTCGAAAGTAGATAACCAGAACTCTTTCTTCAGAGATGGCTCTTGGTGGATTTGAAGCTCCAACATTTCAGTTGGTAGCCGAACACATTAACTGTTTGCACCACCCCAGGGATTCCTTGAAGCCAGTATACAGATGTGGTCAATTAGACTGCCATTTCTTCTGAGACCTGTTCTCTCTACCAAATGAGAGACTACTTTAGGATCCAGCCATATACTGTTTTTAAAATGTTCTGTATAATTTAGAGTGCTATTAAATACCAATTATAAATTCTGTTGTGAAACTGAAAGAATATAAGTTGAATTGAATAGGTTCAATTTATGACAGTTTGTGTATTTTTCAATCCACTTATAGAGAAATGTCTGTATCCAAACAGGTGCCTGCTTATGGGTGCATAGAGAAACCTGATTTTTTTTAAAAAAAAAACTATAGAACTTTTGCTATGTTGAAATAACATTACCCTTTTATTTTTAAAACCTTTGGAAAAATTTATGAGTTGTGGTGAAATTAGTATTTTAGGACTATTATTTTGACATCACTGGTAAGTAGTTGGTGGAGATTTGATATAAGAAATTTTGACTCAGAGAAATATATATATTTATATGTATCATATATATATGTATTATACAGTTGTTGTTGTTGTTTGCTGTCGAGTCAGACCCGACTCATAGCGACACCTCCTTGGGTTTCCTAGGCAGTATCAATACAGAAGTAGATTGCCCAATCTTCCTTCCGAGGAGTGGCTGGTGGGTTTGAACCGCCAGCCTTCTGGTTAGCAGTCAAGTACCTTACGCACTATGCTACCAGAGCTCTTATATATATATCTGGTAGCATAGTGCCTAAGGCACTTGACTGCTAACCAGAAGGCTGGCAGTTCAAACCCACCAGCCACTCCTCAGAAGGAAGATGGGGCAATCTACTTCCATAGGGATACTGCCTCGGCAACCCAAGGAGGGGTCTCTATGAGTCGGGTCTAACTTGATGGCATGTAACAACAACAACATACACACATATAATATACATATATATGCCCATAACCATTGCCATGCCTATATTCTATTTGCTTACCTATACTCATACCTATGCCTTTAGCTACTGAAGATGAAGAAAGAGAATTTGTCAATTTGAAGGAAAGGAAAATGACATAGATTAGACTTGGGCTCCCCTTATTGTGGCAGTCCAGAGTATGGAACTCAACATCAAAAAATAACAATCAGTAGTTTAAATTTGTGCTTGTTGTGTGTATGTGGTTGTTTTCTCTCCTGAATATAACCAGTTGCCTTTCAGTCTCTTTCTATACATGATAATCCCATGTGTGTCAAAGTAGAACTGTCCTCCACAGGGTTTTTAATGGCTAAATTTTTGGAAGTAGATCTCAGGCCTTTCTTCTCAGGTGCCTCTGAAACAACTCAAATCTCCAGCCTTTTAGTTAGCAGCCAAGCATGTTAAACGTTTTTACCACTCTGGGACTCCACTGAATATAATGAAGCCCAGATTAAATTAGAATCATTTAGATATTTTAAACCTGCATGATCTTTTCAGTATAAGATTAAAGAATGAATAATATGAATATGTGGCTATCTCTGTCCTTTACTCTCTGGGGGGAGAGCAGGCAGCACTGGGCTTCTGTGTATGTTGCAGGGTAGGTCAGGAAAAGTTCACACTTGTTAGCACAGGCTCAAACAGAGGTTTTGTAGAAGTTTCTCACTTGCCTACATCAGCTATGTATAAGCAGCCTGATCTCTAGTCAAGAGCAACAAGTTTGACAAATTGGTACATAATGAAAAACAGACTGCATTTCAAAATCATGTGTGTTGGAAGAAAAAAACAAATACACAAAATTTAAAATATGGTTATGTTATTTAAAATCTAGTGTTAATTTTGGTGTCGTCTATGTCCTTAAATTCTTTGCCTCCTCTTCATGATGTTCTTTTGAGGAAACTTAAGCTAGTCAAATAACTTTCAATATGAAAAACCAAAGAAGGAAACCCATTGCCATTGAGTCAATTTCAACTCATAGTGAACCCCATGCATTCTTTTCCCATTGGGTTTACAAGGCTATAAATCTTTATGGAAGTAGATTGTCTCATCTTCCTATTGCAGAACAGCTGGTGGGTTTGAACTGTTGACCTTTTGGTTAGCAGCCAAGTGCCTTACCCACTATGCCACCAGAGCTCCTTGTTTTAACATAAAAGCTGTGCTAAAATTTTCTTTCTTATAGGAATCAGAATGTTGTAGTTAGAAAAGAGCTTGGGTTAGAGCAGGGATAGCAGGTCTGTAGCATGCCACTTGAATCTCCTAATGCCACAAGGGACATCACTAACTGATAAACAACCACAGAGGCCATCACTAACTGATAAGCAACCAGTTGTTAACCAGTTATTATTGAGTTGATTCTGACTTATTGCCACCCCATGTGCGTCAGAGCAGAACTGTGCTCCATAAGGTTTTCAATGGCTGATTTATTGAAAGTAGATTCCCAGACCTTTCTTCCAAAGTGCCTCTGAGTAAACTTGAACCGCCATCTTTTTGGGTAGTGGCCAAGCTTTTTTAGTTGTTTTCACTACCCAGGGACTCCTAACTAATAACAGAACCCTAAAATTGGGGCAACAACATTGCTAAACAATAGAATTGTCATGTGAGATGAGACATACTTGAACTTCCTGGATTAGAGAGATATGTTTGTTTAATTGGTATATAAAGGAGTAAACTGAAGCCTAGAGAAGTCAAGGGGCCCACCTTGGGTCACACAAGTTTGTAGCCATTGAATAATTAGAACCTGCTCATGCCCAGACTCATACTTTTTTGGCTAACCTGGCTGGTCATGGTCCAGATGGCAGATCATATATAATGTGAATATGGCTCTCAGGCTGTTTTTGCAGTCATGCTCATCCAGAAAAGCTACATCACTGGAGTGGGTCTTGCAAAGCCTAACATGCAAATTCTAAGTAACACTAACTCTACAGGGCTTTGTTCAATGATCTGAAATGGACTCACCACTATAAGTTCTGGGCATTCTTGCTGTTTTTCAAACGCATCTCACTCTCTCACTTCTCTCCCCTTGCTGTTCCCTTTACCTAGAATGCTTTTTCTCAAGCTTCATTGGGCTAACTCTAACTCCTACTTTAGATCCTCAGGATGTAGCTTAATATTCAGTCCCTTCAGAAATCCTTCCCAGACCACCTAGAGCAGACATGATATCTGGATGCTCCTGAAGCCTTCCTTTCCATAACTCTCACCACATCATTCATGACCAGTTTCTGAGGCAGCCTGTGACTTCTATGACAGCTTGCGCATGGCTGGTGCTCCAGTACTTACACCGTGCCTAGCACAGTGGTGAGCTCACATGATTATTTTACTAGTGGAAATTTAACTGAAATAATGTTGGCCCTATATATCCTGGTCTGTATACTTTCTTCCAGTTTAGTTTTCTTTCAAAATACTTCTGATGTGTATTTTATTTCATAGGAAAAGGAGATACCAAATTAAATTTAATATAAATTTAAGAATATAATAAAATGGAATTAAGTGTTCAACTAATGTTAAAGATTGTAAGTTGAAAGATATCCTTTATAGCCAGTTCAGTTCTTTACCTTTGAGACTAATTTATTTATGTAAACTCATCCCATTCTAACCCCAACAAACAGTTTCACCAATATTTGAGTTAACAGGCTAAAACCATTATTATCTATGGTACAGTTCAGCAGTCATGATGGTGATGTTAGCATAACTGAGTTATATTAACGATTATGAGTGAACTCTTTTTGTTTGTTTTGCTTTGATCTAGTTCTCAGTAATATAAGTGAATCATGCTGAAAATGACAATTTAGACAATGTACAAACAGCACCATATTATTCAGGCATGGAACTTTTAAGACTCAATGTCCAAAGAGCACTCTATTTTTAGAAAATAAGGCAAGGCTATTTTCCTAAATTATGATACTGATTCT